CGTTGCGGACCAAAGTCATCCCAGGTAGTGCTAACTCTTGGTTCGAGAACTGAGAAGATATCCAGGTTTCAGATATTCCTATCAGATGGGCCTTATTAGCGTTGCTAAGTTCACGCAATTCATCCAGTTTGTTTGGTAGACTCGCGGCGTTCATATATAAGCGGTTTATGCTTTCAATTTGCAACGCGTGAGCTTCGTCCTGTTTTTCTGTATGAGCCTTATGTGAATGGACAGGTAGCCCACCTATATGAGGTTTGCCGAGGTGGTAGGCCCTGTCCTTTACACGTTCTTTTATCATTTAGACAGTCCACAAGTGGAATGGTCAGCTCCAACTTGCTTTTGTGTTTGGTCCTAGCTTCATATGGCCAATCCGGGTGCATATGGATTCCAGGTGGCAATCGACGTCTGTTGGCACGAAATGCTTCCAGAACTGCAGCCGTCATGTGGGAAGATGGGGAGGTTATCTTCATTAGACGAGGTCTAGGATCACCGTCCTTCTTGGCTAGTCTCGTCACATGCTGAGTCAGTATGTGTTTGAGCCTCAAGGACTGTTTGATGAATTTCCATTCCCTGATGTCAGAATTTGATTGAGTAGGGTCTGCATTTTCCGGTATACCTTGCACAATTATGTTTCTTCCGCGGAAAAACTGATCGCGAGTTTCTTTGGGGATGTTCCGTATGATATTGCGCTCAGAGTACGGTATGTCGGGCAATATTTTTACGTTACCATCGGATTTCAGCAAGTGACTTGCTAGCAAGACGTTCTCTACGTCGGCAGCATTCTTAAGTGTTACTCGGAGAAGCCTCGGGTGATTTAGATGCTTAGAATCCTTTCCTCGAGTGAGCCGGGTGACCGTCAAAGGCTCTATCCTAGGAAGTTCGAGCTTTTTGTTCAATTCACCCCAGAGCATCCTGTCGTTCTTGTCCTGCAGACTGTGAGGAAGATCAGGATTGTCAACGAGGTTCATGATAATGAGAGAATCGTCACGAACTGGAATGAATACAAACTGCCGAGGGTCACTTATTCACAGATTAACATCGTGCTTAGTACATTAAAGTGTGAAACTTCCCACCAGAAGCGACAGTAGCGGCTCCTGCTGGATCCTTCAAAGTAGGGTTGATATATACATTCATTGAATACAATAACACTGTGGTATGGCAGCTATCGGATAATTATGATAATTAGGAGTATTTGAATTATAGTATGGACTAAGAATCCCAGAAATAACGTAATCGGATCAAAAAGTACTAGATAACCACAAACGAATGTACTGTATTCGGAACTCGAAATCAAGCATTCAACAAGTACAAAGGAATCACTAGTTCATTCAAACACCAAAATATAATGGGGTGAACTTATAAACGTCGTGACTTTTTTCTCACACTTGATTACGTACAGTGACAAACCGCTGCTAGAATACTCACTATTGTTTTACTCCGGTTTCGTCATGCAATTTTATGTCAAAAAACAGAATGACAATCAGACTAAACTTAGGGAACTTAAACCTTGACAAAAACGAGCCTACTAGAAAAATATAAAAGAACAGAAGATAGTGGTCGTATAAAATTCTCGTCCTTTCGCGAATAAGTAAGAAGGTTAAGAGAAGTGAAAAAGAAACAAATGGTTTTATGCTAACAAAACCAAGAGGAAATCCAAATCAATCGAATGAATGTCAGTATTGAAGATTGAATGATGGCGAAAGAAAATACGTAGTGATAAAAAGTAGAAGTCTAAAGAATATGTGTAATAATGATTGATCTACAAACTCGTTATTTAATACTAACAAGAAAAAATTCCAAACTCTCAGTTGGATCGATAACGTAATTATGTAGTACTCAACTACACTACAAATAATTTTTACGTAAATATTCTCCAAACTGCTGCACACAAAATCTTTGCAAAGCTATATCCAAAACAGTTTAACTAGAAATACGTAGCTGTCAATTTTATAATTCTGAAACCAAAAATAATACATTCAAACAAGAACATGAACCAATCCAGTCAATTGAAAACAATGGAAGCAATAAAAACGCACAAGTTGAACAATAATTAGTGATACAATAAATGAGTTAATAGAAGACATTTTTTAAAAAAAAATTACGGTTCCGTGATTGGTAGATAAAAGTTACTCCGAGGTCATATCACATCTAAGTGGTGAGCATTTACTTAAATACTAGTGGTCATTCCAAGTCTAGGAACTAAGCGCAAAATATAAGAATAGGCGAAACATGTGATTTCAAGAAAATTACTTCAATAAGCTGCATATAAACATGTAATGTATTTTACGCATTAGCATCTATGCAAGCGAATGTATAGTTCTTGGATGACGCAGATAATTAAAACAATCAATGAACTACCACGTGAGATAAATTAAAGAAAATATTAATTAGGCTGACATTCGTTTATGCATACGTAGAATAAGACAAACCATTTCATTCAGTTCAAATAATTGATCACATATGCTTTTCAAGTGAGCAAAGTTATAACTATCTACAATATTCCCTACGTTTCGTTTTATCTGTTCATGAAAGTAATGTTAAATTATGATATTAATGAACTGAAACTAAGTATTATATTAAGTTACGACAAATAAAGAAAAATCAAATGCTTTACATGAAGTCTATGTTAATTGCACCTAAGTAATAAAAAGAATACAAGTTTTAGTTACAACGTGGTTTTGGAAACACAGGAATGTTATTTGAAGTATTAATTTTCGATTCATACTTTTCTACTTAAACTAATTCAGGTTTGAAAAAAAAAGAAAGATGTACAAAATATATGGTGTATATTGAAAATGAATGTTGAATATCTCTTCTGAATAAGCACTGTCAATATATTTTTCATACATATGTTACAATTAGTGCTCAAAGTCGCTTTTGGCGAAAGACTGAGACATTCATTAACACTATTAAGCTATAAATTCTTCATTAACTGTATTTATTTAGTAGTTACGCTTACGGAAAATTTAGCTTTACAGGCATATAATTAAAGCTCAGTTACTTTATAAACTGTACGATTCTGCAATAGAAAACGAACTTTTGAGAAGTTCCATATTCTTTGGAGAAAACTTGAATCTCCGTGTCACGTCCTTGATTTTGAACAAATTTACCACAAAGTTTAGATGCTTCGATTTTTGTGTAGAGAATGTGAAGGACGCTCCATTTGAACAAAATCCTATATTGTTAAGTATACAAGAGTATTTAATCTAACACATGGTAAATCTGGTGTACGTCATATGCAGCTGACTTACGATATAAAAAATCTAACATCTTCATAAGCAATGTCAAATATCCAGAGATAAGAAAACTTATCAATTGTTTAAGAATGTTTATCATAAAGAATCAAAACATATATATAAAATATTTGACGCACTATATACTTCAACGATTTTTTTCAACACATAGATAATGGTACAAAGAGGTACCAAATACATATACGCCACACAAATCTCATTCGATATGTGTGAGGGCTGTGATACTGCCCGGGTGCCCAAACCGAAGCAGGTGGTTTTTCTTAGGGGGCCACACCCCGAGCCTTCGACCTGAAGGTCTGATCCACAAGGCAGTGGAGCATCGTAAGGAGATGCAGTCCCATGGTAGCCGGTGACCAACAATTGGTTCATACGCCATTTGTTCCCTCAGGATACTGCAGCCCATGTGCACCATTAGTTTGGGATCCGGTTAAAGTGCCGGATATTCGCTTTTCGTCCTCTCATTTTCGTAAACAACACCCCCGCAACGAGAAGGCAATGAGTAGGACTTCCCTTGCAGAGGCTATATACTCGTGGCCATGTGAGAGCATTTCGAGAGGGAGAGCGAACTCTCCCCACTCTCGGCCGTACCAGGGCATGCTTTATATGCGAGTGTTTTAATTAGTGAAGCGTTGCGTGGAGTTACAGCTAAAAGTATTATCCAATTCATACTTGCCAACCACACGGCATTATTCGGTCAAAAACAAACATCTTGATGAAAGAAAACCAGTAAATGAGCTTATATGGGGTTAAAATCGATAGTTTTTTCATGGAGTCGAATGATCGAATTACTTCATTTCTAAGGAACTAAAAATAACTCTCACCAGGATTCCATCAAACCATCACAAACATAAATAGGTTTATAGATGAATGAAACCAAAAACAATGACTTCGAACAAATTGTTACTTTTTAACACCATACATTGAGAACGAAGATGAAGAAAAACAAATTATTGTCAAAAGAAAAATCCAAACTCTCTATGAAGCATTCTATTTGAACGCCATAAGTAAATTAAAAGGACTGACACGAAGAATAACAGGAAGAAAAGAAAATTTCATTGTACAATTTAGTGCTTTTATACATATGGAAAAGTAGAAATAGAATTAGGTAAAACAAAACGATAATGAAAAACATGCTATTTATATTTACTTGAGTGTTTTATCATACTAAAAACAAATAATAAGATATTGCAACACTTGATATGATAAAAAGATGGATAAAAATTAAGAAACGAAAACATTCAGAGAGACATGAAATCCACGTAAGTGATCAAACTTGATGTTCTTCAGTGAACAGATATTGTTAAGAGAGATGTATATAAATATCCTATGAAAATGTCCAGAGATATGAATTAACGTTTAATAAAGGAGAAGAAAGACACAATCCTCTAACTGCTTACAATTAAAATGTATATTTTAGATAGATTGGAAAAGAAGAAAATTTATATTGCACATAATAAACAATTCATCATACTAGTAAAAAGATTAAAATTTCTCGCCGAATTCACGATATATGGTTAACTAAGTTGTGTGAAGAAGCAAGAACATTGAGCTCTAAATAATTACAATAAACGAGCACAGACTGTTTAAAACATATTATACAAGCGTATGCATAATGAGATGTAAAAAACATCTGATGATAGCCTAAATAGAAAAAAACAAGTTGAAGACATATATATATATATATATATATATATATATATATATATATATATATATATATAACAGACGACTGGATAGACAATATGTTCAGGTCACACCATCACGTCTGAAACGCGTATTTCTCTGAAAAGCAAATAAATAAAAATATTTACGCTTCAATTTTGAATTATGGTAGATAATGCAGATCTTTTACTCAAATTTATAACTCATTAATTGCATCATACTGGCTTAATATTAACTTATGCACTTCAAATCACATCGCTTTACGAGTAATACATAATAAATCGATGAAATTATTCAAGGAGTGTCTATAAATTTGACAATAATAACCGATTAAAAGCAGACGAAATTAGAAATACATAGTAAGAATATGTGGAGAATATCCATAAAAAAAACATGATATCACATATTAGCAATAAATAGTCTTAAAAAACCACCTGGTATTCAAAATACCATCATCTGACTACGATAAGAAATTAAGACAGGGCAGTAAATTCTTCTAAAACTCAAGGCAATCCATGTAACGTGATTCCACCTTAATTAAGAAAACCACAGTATCAATAAAAATTCACCTTGGAAACTTAGTGACATCATGTATGGGCGGTGACCCTAGCTAGATGAATAATTTAATTACTCATTAAAACCGGCCTACATTTGTACCTTACTTTCTGTCTTACCTCAACATATAACAGCCATTGGATTATTTGGTCTGTCCAAATTGGGATTGATGAAAATACATAATCTACCACATAACAAAGCAACTACATCGGAGACTTTCTAAACTGAACTTGACATATATTATTGGCAGGTGCAATAAAATAGAAACATACTAATCCATTTTTAGGCTTTTGTAAAAAATCGGTAGACCAGCTGCATAACCTGTGTTTGATTTACGAACGTAAACCATTACCATTAGCCCCCAAATGCCCTGGTATGGCCGAGAATAGGGTGGGCTCGCCCTCCCTCCCGAATGCTCGCACATGGCCACGCGTATACAGCCTCTGCAAGGGAAGTCCTACTCATTGCCTTCTCGTTGCGGGGTGTTGTTTACGAAAATGAGAGAACGAAAAGCGAATATCCGGCACTTTAACCGGATCCCAAACTAATGGTGCACATGGGCTCCAGTATCCTGAGGGAACAAATGGCGTATGAACCAATTGTTGGTCACCGGCTACCATGGGACTGCATCTCCTCACGATGCTCCACTGCCTTATGGGTTAGACCTTTAGGTCAATGGCTCGGGGTGTGGCCCCAAGAAAACCACCTGCTTCAGTCTAGGCACCCGGGCAGTATCACAGCCCGCACACAAATATAATGAAAATGATGATATTAACTGAAAACTTCATTATCGATGCGGTTTACAATCAAACGATCCTCATTATTATTATTATTATTACCATTATTATTATTATTACTTACTTACTTACTACGTCATTTATTTTATTTTATTTTCACTGTGTATCCTTATTTTTCGACTTATACAGAAGCTCACCTATGGTGGAAATTCGACTCTATCTAAACGTTCTCGAGTCACTGTCCGGTTGAAAATTGTATGTTACCACCGAATATGAGTACTGAAGCAGTTTTTCTGAAACCACGTGCACCATTCAAACTGGCTGCCTTCAACGTTCGCACACTTATGCAGGTTAGACAACAGATAGGGCTGGCTATGTCTTTGGAAAGTCTTAATATCGATGTTTGTTCAACTGGCCTGCTGCTTCGGCAACATCGGTCAGACTGTCCTGCCCTCCATGGCCGGTGACGACTGATCCACCAAATGAGGCGGAAGTCCGCAAGGAACTCCAACTCTTGAAGCGTTACAAATCACCTGGCCCAGATGACTTACCTCCGGCTCTTTTTAAAGATGGTGGTGACTTTATGACTAAGGAATTGACGACGTTGTTTACAAAGGTTTGGGAACTAGAGAGTGTACCAACGTCATGGAATGAGTCGATAGTTGTCCCTATCTTTAAAAAGGGTTCACGTCGTTCCTGTAACAACTATCGGGGGATAAGTCTACTTCCGATTGCGTCCAAGCTATTGGCTTCCGTCATTCTTCGTAGGTTGTTCAAAACCCGAGAAAGATTGACTCGCGAGGAGCAGGCTGGGTTTCGTTCTGGTCGAGGATGTATTGATCATATCTTCACCCTCCGCCAAATGTTAGAACACCGCCATACTTATCAAAGGCCAACAATCGTAGTGTTTCTTGACATCAGGGCTGCCTTCGATTCGTTGGACAGGACTGTTCTCTGGGATTGTCTATTGAAGAAGGGTGTGCCTGAGAAGTTTATTAACATCCTAAAAGCCCTATATACAAACACCTCAGGCAGAGTGAGGGCATACAACCACCTCTCTCCATTGTTCCATTCGAGCAGTGGGGTTAGGCAGGGTTGCCCAATCTCACCATTCCTCTTCAACTTTGCCATCGATGACATTCTGGAAACAGCTCTGATGAATGTAAGTAATGGTGGTGTAGATCTGTTGCCTGGAGAAAGACTTCTCGACCTTGAGTATGCGGACGATATTGTCTTACTGTGCGATAATGCCCAAGGCATGCAATCCGCACTTAATCAGTTGGCAATCAGTGTCCGTAGGTATGGTATGTGCTTTGCACCTTCGAAGTGCAAAGTACTTCTACAAGACTGGCAGGATTCTAATCCTGTACTCACCCTGGATGGTGAGCAGATAGAAGTAGTCGAGAAGTTCGTGTATCTGGGTAGCTGCATAAGTGCTGGTGGGGGTGTGAGTGATGAGATCAATGCACGTATAGTGAAAGCCAGAGCGGCTTATGCCAATCTGGGCCATCTTTGGCGCCTTCGTGATGTTAGTCTGGCTGTAAAAGGTCGGATCTACAACGCGTCGGTGAGAGCAGTTTTGCTCTATGCTTGTGAAACCTGGCCTCTCCGAGTTGAGGACGTTAGACGACTCTCTGTGTTCGATCATCGCTGTCTCCGAAGGATTGCTGACATCCAGTGGCAACACCATGTCAGTAATGCAGAGGTTCGGCATCGTGTGTTCGGGCACAGAGATGATAATCAATTGGTGTCACCATCTTGAAACACCGACTTCGGTGGCTTGGACATGTTCTACGAATGTCGTCCCAGAGAATTCCACGTCGTGCATTATTTGCCGACTCTGGGACTGGTTGGAAGAAGCGGAGAGGTGGTCAGTGCATGACATGGTGTCGTGGTATGAAAGAAAGCTGCAAAGGACTGGCTTGTGTTGGTCCTTCACGACTCCCTGGTTGGGGTACGAGAGATGGTGCTACACAGTGGCTAGAGACGTTATCAGATATGGCTCAGAATAGAAGCCAGTGGCGATCCTGCTGTAACCTTCTTTTACTTTCTTCATAAAAAGTGGTTGTGTCTCCCTTACCTGAAAGATTTCTTCTGATTGTACCTTTCCGTTCCCCCATTATTACCATTATTATTATTATACTACCTTACACCAATCTCTTTGTTATTGTTCACTTTTTTTTACGCTCCTTACCTTTTTCCCCTTGTCTTTAAATTCTCATTGTTTTGTGTGGCGCATATATATTTGGTGCCCTCTTTTACTAATATTTATTTGTAATAAATAAATAACCGAGGTATTTAATCCTTCCGTCGATTAACTAAACACAGGTATGAAAAAAGGTTACTAACTGAAATGTTATTTAAAAGATATTTATTGAGTCACTGTTCAACTGGGGTAGTGATTGATTTGACAAATTTTTTGCAACTAGTTACAAATCAACCTTGACTTCAAAACCTTCATATCTGACCTGGATTTACGAAATATGACTAGATTAACAGATTTCGCTCCATCAATAAGATATAACCATTACTACTAAAAATGGTTACGGGTTTCATTTAACAACTTATATATTATTGAGTAGTGACCAAGGTCATATCCCTTTAGTACTTTAGTGTTGATGAAATTCTGTTGATCAATTTACAATGTGGCCACAAATTTAAACGATTCGGCATCGTGTGCACTGTTAAAAAAATTGGGGGTTTGGAAGTAAGAAACAGGTTACCCTGAACCTAATTTAATGTTAGTTCATTCACAGGTTCGAATCAATAAACCAGTTTCAAGAGCATGAATAATTTGGTTACATCATACTTTCCTATTTATCGATTAATAAAACCCTAACCCATAACACAAGTCTCGCTGAAATAAGCCAAAACGATGGAACAAACATATCTTTTTATTTAATGCTTTTATATTGTTGTGTTTTGTTACTGGGGCTCAGTACGGCCTACGATGTTACGGATTTAGGGATGAAAACAACTGAACTTCTCTAATACGATCAGTTTTCTTTTGAACTAACAACACTCATTCATCCCTAACACATCAACCTCGACGGCTAAGACATGAAGGAGACGGAAATGCAGGGGACTTGATATTTTTGGTAGAACAAGTAACTCAAACGAAATCGGTACAAAAGTTGCTACTATAGTAGCAGGATATAACAACATTCGACATGTAGTAATTTAGCGGACTAAAAAACATGACAACCAATCAGAGAGCAAAGGTTATGCGGAAAATCGAACTGGTAGAAAGTATGCGAGCGGTTGTCATTCCAGAAGAGATCTTAACCCTTCTAATAAAATCTGACTATCCTTGCGACCACCTTAGCATATATGAGATACATATTTATATATAATATCTTGCAGCCCCCTGTCCGAAATCAACTGATCAACCACCAATCACAACCCGGCTCTAATTTGTTCTACTCTCGTCCACTACTTACTTTATGGCTTAGAGTCTCTAAGTTGGCCAATTCCACGTCCGACCAGCACTAACAACCTTGATTTAACAGCTAATTTTCTATTGATTCACGACTGTCTAGCTTATCTCACTGATCTCCCCTTGAGTTCAGAAGTCAGCAGCCAGCCTGAACTATCTTATACTCTAAACAGATATTGTCTATATAAAGGCAGACCAGACCGTATCACACCATAGATATAAAATAATAATCATACATAACCAAGATGGAAAGCGGCTGTGAATAGGAGAGACTAAACAAAACCTACCGGGAACAAAGTAGGTGTAGTAAAACGTATGATAATATTTAATGAGTCAACCAAAAGCTTATGACAAAAGGAATATATGTGCACATATACAGTAATCTAGTTACTTAATAATTATAGAATAAGTATATATAGAATAATAATCCATTAGTTCTGGGAGCTATCATTTCTTTAGCCTTCATTCAGATGTTGTATACATATACATGGAATTAATCTTAACGACAATGACAACATTTACTGAGACGAAGGTAAACGCCTGGTTGACAAGTCGTGTATCCTGGGTTTCACTGCTACTTACAATAAAACAATACTTTAATGGGATGATATCTTATTTTTACACTTGACGACTATATCTAACTATAAAATCATTATTTATTGTTTATTTGAACACATAGATATTCATACAAATGTGCACCAAAATAAATATGTGCTACAGCAATAAGAAAATGATCTAATGGAAACACGAAGTAGGGAGGGTGAGAATAACCGAAAACTAGTAAATGAATAAAAATAAATGAATGAGAGTAGTATACAGTGGGAGGAACAATTCAGTCAACAAAATTACAACCAAAAAGCATCTTTCAGGTTAAATATGTTTCCATCACTTTTACGAAGAAATTACAAGAAAACTACAGCAGGATCGTCATTGGCTTCCATTAAGAGCCACGTCTGATAAAATCTCAAGCATATGAGTTATACTACATCTCGAAGCCCACTCAGAGAGTCCATGGAGTAACCAATCCATAGGTTAGGAACAGAGCACTGTGTAAATACGGGAAATCGATTGATGAAATAGTAAATCTTCATCAACTGAGGTGACAGAGACATGAGTTACATATGCACAACCCCCGCCTACCTCGGTGGGCGATGTTTTCTGGTGCAGGAGTAGGCTGGAAGAAAGCCAGAGGCGGCCAAACCAAAACATAGCACCAGTCCATGAAGTCAGTGAACATTAGACTGAGCCATATTAATAGATGCAGACTACCTACTTGAAGTCCATGCGATTATCATAATCAATGGTTGAAGATATGGTGATATGGCTTAAAATCGTTTGCAATGGAGCAGGTACATACGTTCTTCATCTACCTCCAAATTCAGAAATACTGTAATTATTTTTATTCGTATTCCACCAATTTATATTTTCTTTTCGAATCGTATCTTCGATGTCTAATCTTTCCTATTATCACTGATACTGTTACTGTTTTTAATATTCTGCGATTGGACTTGACAATTTAGTCTCTCTGTGCTAATCGGAGCATGACAACTTTAACCAATGTACATACGTACCAGGTTCTGCGTTGTGACTGACTGAACGAGTCGTGAAGGACCAACAAACTCGTCCCATAATTTTCTTTAATACCACGGTGCCATGTCATATACTGACCATCTTTGCTTTGTTCAATCGGTCACAACATCGGTAAATAAAACAGGACGGAATTCGCGATGGTGACATTCCTAAAACATGTCCAAACCACAGAAGCAAGTGTTTCAAGATAATAACGCCAATTAAATTGTCATCGGACACAAATCGCCAACATCATGTTGCCACTGGATGTAAACAATCCTTCAGAGACAATGATGGCCGGACATAGAGAGTCGCCGAATACCTTCAATGATAAGGTAATCTAATTCTACTTAAACAGCTTATCCAGCACTGCCAGTAACATTAACGAAATGATTTAGAATCTACTTATAGATCACAAATTAATCTACTTAGTGTCAAATTTTAAAAAATTCCCATCAAAACATGCTATTTCGCAGTGCAATATGTTTAATGTATCATGATAAAAATTAATTACTTTGCTTCTATCTGATCCTGGACCCGATAATCTTGCACCACTGCCATTGGACGACATACTTCCATGTTGTGGACTTGAACCGGTATAATAAGGAGCATTCGGAAGGGTAGATGATCTAAGGGTGGAAAGATCAATTGGGGGGAAGCTTTGTGGAGTTGAATGTCGCTGACTATGAATTGATGTAGAATAAGAGTGCTGGTGATTTGGACTAGATAAAAGGGAATTAGGAGATGGTTGAATTGAACTAGTATGATAAGGTGGATGAGGTTGGCCAGAACGAATGTCAAAATTTTGTTTTTGATAGAGATCTACTTCAAGTTCTTCAAGTCGTTGAGTAACAGCTAATTTCTGCTGAATAGCAAGGCGCAACAAAGTATTTGCAGTTCGTTTTTCGTCCTCAGCCACCTATATTTTCAAAATATTTTGAAAAAGCAAAAAATATAAATTACATGAGTTGAAATTGACTACATGAACAATAGTCAACATATAAACTACACTTATTTTGCCCCCAAATGCCCTGGTATGGCCGAGAGTGGGGAGAGTTCGCTCTCCCTCTCGAAATGCTCTCACATGGCCACGAGTATATAGCCTCTGCAAGGGAAGTCCTACTCATTGCCTTCTCGTTGCGGGGGTGTTGTTTACGAAAATGAGAGGACGAAAAGCGAATATCCGGCACTTTAACCGGATCCCAAACTAATGGTGCACATGGGCTCCAGTATCCTGCGGAAACAAATGGCGTATGAACCAATTGTTGGTCACCGGCTACCATGGGACTGCATCTCCTTACGATGCTCCACTGCCTTGTGGATCAGACCTTCAGGTCGAAGGCTCAGGGTGTGGCCCCTAAGAAAAACCACCTGCTTCGGTTTGGGCACCCGGGCAGTATCACAGCCCTCACACATATCGAATGAGATTTGTGTGGCGTATATGTATTTGGTGCCTCCTTGTACCAATATCTATGTGTTAAAATGAACTATCAAGCAACCCACAATGATTTGAAAATGCTACAGCACAAGCTGATTTAATGAAGTGTTGTGAATAGAAATTGAGGGGATTTAACAGTTTTACAGAAACAGACAATAAAAAGTCATGCTTATCTCCTGATATTCATTATCATCTAACATTTTTTTAATATTTTCTTTTGATTAGATTTCACCAACTCATTTTTTGATTGACCTATAATGTTGAGTAATAAATATAAATAGTAAAACTGAACAACTGCGATTCCATGTAGTTAATAATATGCTTTAAATATCTAGTCACATTTTCCGACTAGTAAATGGTGAAAAATTGTATGAAACAAAACTACGCAGTCGCTAAAGTGTATGCATGAAATACCCAAGATACGCATGTGCTGAAGATAACTGTAAAGAATTTTTTATCACTTACACTTAGTTTCCTTTGCATTTCATCTAATTGTGTCATGTATTCATCATAACGTTGGGAGAATACAGCGCGTAGAGAACCATAGATTGCAGCATCTTCTTTAAGTGTCTTCAACTCACTACGTAACTGTTGCATTGTTGAACTGACATTAATTTTCTCTTTTTCATATTTTTGTTTTAAATTTGCTAGAGCGGTTTCAGCCGTAGTTTTATTGGCTCGCAGCATATTACGCAATGTATGTACTTGTTCACGTTTCGTCTCCAATAGACTTTTTAAACGCAAGTTTTGTTGTTGGGTCTCTTCAATATCTAAACTGCTACGTCCAGGAACCTATTTCATAACATTAGTAATAATAATATTATTGAGATTTACAAACCACATCAACTAACCAGAAATAAAGTACTGAATAATGTTATGCAAACCTAAACACCGTCTATCAAGACGCGCAGTGCTACGTAAACTAGGAATAAATCGCAAGGAAGCTAGGGTGGGAGTCAGAGCAAGGCATATAATCAATCCTAAGAGTTGTTAACTTCTGAATTGATCCACATCAGTGGGTATGGGCCTTCTGGTTGTGGCCCAACTAATCATAATCTACGATTCGAAATGATGGGCGACATGGGGTGAAACTTTCACAGTAAAATCTCTTTTCCAAAGCTTTTTATAGCTCCTTCTGAACTGTATTTCTCATGTTTAAGCATCAGTTTGTTAATTTCCTACCACACTGTGCTGATATGAGGTATGGAATATTTGGACTGATGATCTACATTCGTCAGAAATCCTGAGTTGAAGGTACACAATTTTCTCTTAATAATCACTAATGATTAATAATGAACTGTGTCAAAAACCTCCATTTTGGGAAAAGGATAATACAATTTGATATAAACGGTTGTAAAATTCCAACACAGTTATCATAAAATGAAATCTTATGAAGCCCAATTATTATTACGAATCACAAAACATAATTGATCATACGATTTCATAAGCCAATCTACATGGAGGAAAATGTGAATAACATAACGAAATTACGAAATAAGAAACAAATCAGGTCTTTTTGTTTGTCATATATATATATATATATATATATATATATATATATATATATATATATATATATATATATATATATATATCATTACTTCAACATATTTTTATTTGTAAAGATGGATCTCAAAATATTTGTAAACTGTTTTAACATTTTGGATACGCTTTAGTGGTTAGTCTGGGCTACTAACAAGCATAGAATTCAGGATTTTTAGGTGTATGGTTTGACCAGAACAATAATTTTTGAAAATATTCCTGTCTCAGACAATAATATAAAAAGACTATATTGTTTTTGACCTGATCCACGACGTCAGACCCACACACATCCACTTCCTATTTGGTTGCCCAATCAGATATGCTATGAAGATATAAATTGCTAGGAAGCTGTAATTGATAAAACTGGATAATTAAGTACACTAATCATTGGTACAAAAACTTGTTTCTCTGACCCAGACAAAGACATATAGATTAAGCTCTCTATTGGAACTATAATCGACTTCCCTCAATAGCGTGCCTCGTTTATAAATTCGCAAATACCGTTTCACCCTAAGGCAATGTGTGAGTACGGTCACATGACATGCCTAGACTCGTTTAGTCTGTCATCAGTTTCCAAATCCTATATACGGCCGGTGTACTGAAAACCCTTGGATATATGCAACAAGTGTTAACTAAGTATAGACTATGTTAAACTAGTTCGTATAGTTTAAATTATACATGTTGCTTTGTTTTTAATACTTAAAAAAGCTACATAAATCTTGATTATAACACTGTTATTTGTACCTGATTTGAAATCTGAGAATACTTTTCATTGAATGTGCTAACTAGATGACGCAGTTGTGTGACAACGGTAAGATGCAAATCGGCTTCTTCGGATAATACTTCGAAATCAGATTCGGTAGTAGTAGTAGTACTGGTTGTTGTTTTTGTATTAGACGTGGGAGATCCTGTTGGTTTTATTCCACAATCTTGTCCCAGCTGTTCATCAATAGACTTATCTGTCCCAACTAAATCAGATGCAACTGAATTCTCCGACGAATCTTTTTCACTACGAAGAGGGATATTAAAACGATCCGCTACATAAGCCACCTATGAAGAAATAAATAAAACTGAAACCTAAAAAGACATGTTTTTCAAAACAAACAAAAATTGCTTAAAAACGGAACAAAACTTTCTATGAAGAATTACATTAGTAAACTACGTGAAATATAATCACCACTAAAAAGAAGTGAGAACAATGCAGCAAATCTGTTACTCTATTTGACTAGGCTTTTTACATGGCTAGAAAAAGAAACAGCTGGCACATACTTTTAAAAGTACTGTACAGCTTTAATTATGCAAAAGTCGAATACAAAGCCGGCGCAAAAATAAATATTTAACTAAAATATTTAAAGAACTCAAATGCCTTGGTATGGCTGAGAGTGAGGAGAGTTCGCTCTCCCTCTCGAAATACTCTCACACGGCCACGCGTATACAGCCTCTGCAAGGGAAGTCCTACTCATTGCCTTCTCGTAGCGGGGATGTTGTTTACGAAAATGATAGGACGAAAAGCGAATATCCGGCACTTTAACCGGATCCCAAACTAATGGTGCACATGGGCTCCAGTATCCTGAGGGAACAAATGGCGTATGAACCAATTGTTGGTCACCGGCTACCATGGGACTGCATCTCCTTACGATGCTCCACTGCCTTGTGGATCAGACCTTCAGGTCGAAGGCTCAGGGTGTGGCCCCCTAAGAAAAACCACCTGCTTCGGTTTGGGCACCCGGGCAGCATCACAGCCCTCACATATATCAAATGAGATCTGTGTGGCGCATATGTATTTGGTGCCTCCTTGTACCAATATCTATGTATTAAAATAAATAAATAAATAAAAATTTAGAAAACAGAAAGAAACCAATTTTAAATCCAAATTCTACCTAGCAATGTTGGTTGATTACTAAAAGTGATAAAACAATAACCACCTCCATAAAATGCATCACCAATTTTCAAAATGTTCTGATATTGCCTTAAAATGTATCTCCTATTTTGAGCCTCTGTCTTAGTTCATATTACTGGTATACCAAGGTGTATATCAGCCCTACACAATGTGTGACTCTACTGTATCAATTAATGATAGCCTGCTGGTCCATCTATTTCGTACAATACTCAAGCAACTGACATCTACATTAATGTAGCAGACGAAAATCGAGGCTGGGTTGCTTTGCTGAGCTTTTAATGTCGTTCAGGACAGCACCAGTGCCTACATTTAAACAAAACACATTGGTGGACCATGCACATAATAACTCCATTTTAGACTAATTCTTACGATAACGTGACTCGGTGTAATTGTTTGTTTGGGATGGTTATTGTAAAGCAGTAGTGCCACCTACAAATATTTGTTGGAACTGATTTGTAAACTAAAACATTACTGACAATACATCACCTTAACGGGCAAACATAAAAGCACAGCCAGCATTGTGAACTACACAATTCCTCACCAAATTTCACAAAATTTGCAAACAACCCAAATATTTCCCAATAACTGCGATATTACGATCAGATCTAACACATGCTAGACATATCAACAAAACAAAAGATAGAAACGAAACCTAAAACGCTCACTTGTTTATGTGGTGATACTTTAATAACTGAGCACACAAAGCTATAAATCCCGATAAGAACAATAAGACATTGCTTATAAGTTTCCGTGACAGAACAGATCTTACTATAATTTTTACAAATAGTTTGTTCGTTATCAGATAGCTTCTGCTGTAGCGTTTTTATTTCCTCATTACGTTGTTCCAAAATACCTTGTAAGCGAACCAGTTCTTGTTTTAAGGATTCTTCTGAAGCTAGTTCAGGTCGAGAATCAATTTTTTCACGCTCATGATATCTCCAAAGATCATGTTGCATGCTGGCAATTTGACGCAAAGCTACGGAATAACGATTTTCATTTAGCCGTAGAGCTCTACGTAATCTTTTTAGGTCATTTTGTGTGTTTGTATTTGGATCTTCATTTTCATCTGTATGAGAAGTCATTGAAATACAGGATTCAACCATCGCATTTTTACAGTTTGCAGTTGGTTGTGCTTCTAATTCCAATTCTTTGACTTCGAATTCAGAATCTGCTTCTGATTTGACGGACATAATTGCATCTAACTGAGCCAGTAACCCATTGATACGCTCTTGTTTATTAGAAACTTCACTTGTAGCCAACTCAAGAGATCGCTGGGTAATTTCGAGTGTTCTCGTAAGTTCATTTTTCTCAGCTTCTATATGAGCCAATTCTGCCTCATACTTGGCGATTTCTGTAGTTCTTAATTCAGTCAGCAGATCGTCTGGCGAAGGATGCTTAGAACCAGATTTATTTTCCTCTCGATTCTTCACATCACTTCCAGGAAGTTCATTAGTAGACACATTGGTATCTAGTAGGACAGAAGTTAAATTAATTTTATTGTAATTAACCATATAGATACATAGTGATTAAATATTGGTTGAAACATTGATGCTTCAGTATAAAACTTTGATATTTAGTTCGATTCATGTTATGGCTGCGAGCCGTGTTATTTAAAATTACAGGATATTTGCAGGTTACTAGAAGTTTCTCATGAATGCCTTTGAAGCACACTGTTTCCTGATACTGGGATGGGGTGGAAAAAATTGAGTTGATCATTTTACATGGAGCCATAGTAAATAAGAAAGCTATTTAGGACTGGTTTTCTTCAGCCTATTAAAGCGTTTTGGTTTGGATCCTACAAATCATAAAACTTATTGGCTTCAGATGTTATCAAATATAGCTCAGAGTAGGAACCAATTGTGATTCCGAAGCCATTTTCTATCACAACCTTTATCAACCTTTATCAAATGCCCTGTTACGGCCGAGAGTGAGGAGTTCGCTCTCCCTCTCGAAATGCTCTCACATGGCCACGAGTATATAGCCTCTGCAAGGGAAGTCCTACTCATTGCCTTCTCGTTGCGGAGGTGTTGTTTACGAAAATGAGAGGACGAAAAGCGAATATCCGGCACTTTAACCGGATCCCAAACTAATGGTGCACATGGGCTCCAGTATCCTGAGGGAACAAATGGCGTATGAATCAATTGTTGGTCACCGGCTACCATGGGACTGCATCTCCTTACGATGCTCCACTGCCTTGTGGATCAGACCTTCAGGTCGAAGGCTCGGGGTGTGGCCCCCTAAGAAAAACCACCTGCTTCGGTTTGGGCACCCGGGCAGTATCACAGCCCTCACACATATCGAATGAGATTTGTGTGGCGTATATGTATTTGATGCCTCCTTGTACCAATATCTATGTGTTAAAATAAATAAAATAAATAAACGTTGTATGAATTGTATCATGAGATACTAGTCCTGTTAATCTATTCATATATTGCACGATACTTCCCTCGTTTGCAGCCTTGATGTAACGTATGTTAAAAAAGTTAAATAATCTAACACCGAAGTCAGTCTCCATATGCCAAGCAAACTGTTCACCGAAGTAGTCAAAAGTGAACAAAGCGCTGGGCATATAGAATGAAAAGAGATTAAGAGATATAGTCGGTATCTTTGAGTACATTCCACCGAGCACGACATGTAACAATCCAATCGCTCATTACCTGCTTAACAGTGAATGTCAGTATTTTCAAATAATGAGTAAGCAAGTAAATGTAAATGTTTGGCATAATGTTGAGAATATCCCCATCAATTTCCATCAGTCTTGATCATTTATAACGATCTTAATTCCTATCAATTAGTTGCGTATTGTAATCTATGGAATAATTCGTTTTTTATTGATTCTTATGGACCTCACTACGTTGTTTTGTTACTTAGTCCTTTTTCGTAGCTAGTATTGAGTAACTTTTGTTAACATTTTTTCTAGAAACCAGTAAATATCAAGTTTTGCTTCGTCTTCTAAAGTTCCATCAGTTAACCAACAAACAATCAATCGTGTAGACGATTTTAATTATGACTTTATATTTATTGTATATTTATCATTCCCGACTATGATGGAGACATTTCTGTTAGTCATGTAAAATATATGAACCTGTTTCTCCAAATGACGAATACTATCATTTTTAAGTTCCAAGCAGTTGGAGAAAACCTATGAAATAATTGAGCGTATATTATTTTGTTAGTGTTGATGTTAGTGGTTTGTTGAAAAAGTCAAAACGCCCTATCGAAAGAATAAAATCATGACTGTTAAACGTTTTCAAACTGATTTGAAAGCTATATCTAAGTATTAAATTATGCAGAAAAATAATAATAAAATCAACTCAGCAAAAAGATACGTTTGCACATTTAGCTTGGTCTAACATTTTGTTGGGGGTAACAGTGAAACTACCAATTGGTTTGACTGAAAGTGCGACGCAATTCTAACACTCGACTAAGATATTAATAACCAGAGCGTTGGCTTCAAAGAAAATAACATTAAATATACCCGATACTTGTATAAGTTTCTCCATAACTTTGTGGTAAGTTGATTTTATTTATGTAGATGTTTTAATAAATATCCAAATCACGAAAATTTGTCTCTATTATCCAGAAAAACGTAATGCTCTACTTGTAGTTGATATATGCCGTGATACACCCATACAGTAGTTCAAAGCTGGTAAGCAGAGCCACTAAGACTAACTATCTTGTTCTGAAGAAACTAGTTATAATGGTATACTTTACAGAACGAATTAATATTAAATAAATAGACAAAATTTCTGAATAGTACTTAAATCAACAACAGAACGCTCGGATTAAGTAACAGTAAAATAATAATAAGCTACCCCAACTGGATTCTCATGAATGCTTACCTAGTTTTTGACATTCAGTATTACTTTCCTGAAGTTGACTAAGCTTGCTAACATTTGCCAAATTGTTTAGGTTTCGCAAGTCGCTGAGGTGGCTTATTGAATCCGATATAATTCTGCTGTCAAGTTCCTTGCGTAAATTATGACGTTGGTCACGTTCAATCTGAAGTGATTCTAAAGCATCTTCCAAGGACTTTTCGGTCATCCGCTTTAAACGAGTTATTTCTTCCAGCTGGACATGTATAACATCATTTTCCTCTTGTAGTCGCTTTAATTCATGCCTTACGCTTTCAAATTCCACCTGAGATAACCAATATAGCACACTTCGAACTTACCTGACTAGTTTTTAAGGAAAGTATAGTCTTTTGTAACTCCAAATTTTCTGCCTCCAAGTCATCATATTCGTTTAAGATTTGGACTTCTTTTGCTTTAGCATCTCTAATATCAGATTTCAGGTTCCTAAACTGTTTCTCTAGATCTTCATGAGCCGACTGCTGTTCAATATTCCTTTTGTGCAGCGTGTCGTTCTCCGCCATTTGCCGCTCATACTTAAGTCTGAGCTCCTTTAATTCCACTTCTAAATCATGCACTTGATTCCTTAAGACACGTTCTCTGTTTGCCGACTCGGATACCAAGTCATCCTCCTCCTGGAAGCCAGCGATACTAAGTCTACGTTGAATAAGGTTTTGTTCCTCTAAACTCTGAAGTTGAGAGTGTGTCAATAATTTGAAGGACATTACCTTGCGTGTAATTTTTAGTTCTCGATCTAACTCTTCATATTTTCCGCCTAATTCATCAAGCTGGTTTTTAAGTTGTTGATTTGTTTCCAAAAGGGTAAGGCCATATTCAGCTGCTTCATACTTCTCCTGCATAGACACTTTTAGGGCAGACTTTAACTGTCGATTCTCTTCTTCCAAACTCCTCCCATCATCCGCCATCCCCAGCGAAAATGTTGCGCAACAGACTAAGAGCGGCGCTCCCCAAACCTAAATGGTTCAAATGGTTCAAATGGTTGTGGACGGAATAGAAGAAGCTTTCGCTTAACAGGCTTCCGTGTTTAGTAGCAGGGGATCACTGAATCCTCCAGGCAGGAACCTAGGTATGTTAACAATAAAAGAAGAAAAGAAATTGGTAAATCATAGTGTGATGCTGTCCTTGGTCCTTAAGAATAGGTCAAGTTGCCTCTTGAAGGACTCCTGAGAAGTCGCTTGGACTGGCTCGGCCGGCAGCGAATTCCAGATTTTGACAATTCTTAAGGAGTAGAAGTTGTGTCTACATTCCGTCTTGCTATGTTGTGTTTCCAGTTTCTGGGTGTTACCCCTTAGGTTATTATTCGAACTAAGCCTAAGTAGGTGTTTAAGAGGATGTCCAGAAGTGTTAAGAATACTATAAGCCATTAATAAGTCACCTCTAAGACGCCTATACTCTAATGGGTAAAGGTCTAGTGAATGGAGGCGTTCTTCGTAAAGTTTAAATTTCAGTCCTCGAACTGATTTCGTGGCTCGACGTTGGATACGCTCCAAAGTGACCTTGTCCTTTTGGAGTGAGGGAGGGAGTACTATGTTTCCGTACTCTAAATGGGGACGGATGAAACTATTGAAGATTGTATGGAAAGTTCGTCCGTCAAACTGTCCAAAAATGCGCTTCAACGTTACTAGTGCAAGGTTTGCTCGGAAGGCATTTTTGTCACAGTTAGCGTAAGACTTTAAATCATGGGGCACCAGGACTCCTAAATCTCTTTCGACTTGGGATACTACTAGAGAGGAGTTTCCTAAGTTGTAACTGTAGTTTGCAACATGTCGCAGATGGACTACTTTACACTTCGAAGTGTTAAAGGTAAGTCCGTTATCGTCTGCCCAACCTTGAAGTCCAGTCAGATCCTCCTGAAGTGCCTGTATATCGTCTTGGTTGCGTATCTCTCCAAAGTTTCACATCGTCGGCAAAAAGTAATAGGTCTGACGTTACCTGTTGAGGAAGATCATTTATGTAGATCAAGAAGAGAAGAGGCCCTAGTACTGAGCCCTGGGGGACCCCACTAGGACATTCCATAGCCTGAGATAAAGTGAAATTAACCCTAACCTTAAAGTGTCGATTTTTTAGGTATGAAGTAAGCCAATCGATTAGAGGTGGTTTGATACCTAGTCGTTTGAGCTTATTGGTAAGACACAAGTGGTTAACCTTATCAAAAGCTTTTGAGAAATCAAGGTTAATGATATCAACCTTTCCTTTGAGATCGAGGACGCTTGTCCATCTGTCAACCGCAGTCAGCAGGTTGGTTATACAAGAGTAGACCTTCCTGAAACCATGCTGTTGGGGTGGGAAGAAATTTAAGGACAGTAGATAGTCGTTTAAACCGTCGCATATCAGGAACTCCATGAGTTACTAGACAATCTTACAGAGCACCATATGGATTCCTCAAGATTGTTAAACTCGAGGTTGTGAACTTGGTGCACCTCCAGGCAAGAGCTTATGTATATGGCTACTCCGCCCCCAATTCCTGTTTTTCTGTCGTTGCGGACCAAAGTCATCCCAGGTAGTGCTAACTCTTGGTTCGAGAACTGAGAAGATATCCAGGTTTCAGATATTCCTATCAGATGGGCCTTATTAGCGTTGCTAAGTTCACGCAATTCATCCAGTTTGTTTGGTAGACTCGCGGCGTTCATATATAAGCGGTTTATGCTTTCAATTTGCAACGCGTGAGCTTCGTCCTGTTTTTCTGTATGAGCCTTATGTGAATGGACAGGTAGCCCACCTATATGAGGTTTGCCGAGGTGGTAGGCCCTGTCCTTTACACGTTCTTTTATCATTTAGACAGTCCACAAGTGGAATGGTCAGCTCCAACTTGCTTTTGTGTTTGGTCCTAGCTTCATATGGCCAATCCGGGTGCATATGGATTCCAGGTGGCAATCGACGTCTGTTGGCACGAAATGCTTCCAGAACTGCAGCCGTCATGTGGGAAGATGGGGAGGTTATCTTCATTAGACGAGGTCTAGGATCACCGTCCTTCTTGGCTAGTCTCGTCACATGCTGAGTCAGTATGTGTTTGAGCCTCAAGGACTGTTTGATGAATTTCCATTCCCTGATGTCAGAATTTGATTGAGTAGGGTCTGCATTTTCCGGTATACCTTGCACAATTATGTTTCTTCCGCGGAAAAACTGATCGCGAGTTTCTTTGGGGATGTTCCGTATGATATTGCGCTCAGAGTACGGTATGTCGGGCAATATTGTTACGTTACCATCGGATTTCAGCAAGTGACTTGCTAGCAAGACGTCCTCTACGTCGGCAGCATTCTTAAGTGTTACTCGGAGAAGCCTCGGGTGATTTAGATGCTTAGAATCCTTTCCTCGAGTGAGCCGGGTGACCGTCAAAGGCTCTATTCTAGGAAGTTCGAGCTTCTTGTTCAATTCACCCCAGAGCATCCTGTCGTTTTTGTCCTGCAGACTGAGAGGAAGATCAGGATTGTCAACGAGGTTCATGATAATGAGAGAATCGTCACGAACTGTTGTTAATTTACCAGGTTTCACGATGGGTTCAGGTTTAATAACTTGTTGTTTGGAGGTCGGTGCGCGTTTTTGAGTCTTGGGCTCTTTGTTGACCGGACGAACAGTCTTGGGGGTAGACTGTGCGACCAAATCACCAGTTATTTTCCGTACAGCAACACTTGGGTTGCTCGGCTTAGGCAGTGATGCCTGGTTCTTTTGGGCTCTCTTAACGTGGGTCGAATCACCTACAGGGTTTTTGGGAACCACTGTTGTGTTCAGGGACCCTAAGCTGGGAGACCCGAGTTTGCTTAAGGAGTCTAGTACCGTCGACGTAATGATGGTGCTGAGCCTCGACACGTCATCATTAGTGTTGACGGATGCTCCATCGGTGGTATACCTATCGGCATCCCTATTTTTGTATCCGTCGCACGCTCTTGTTTGTCTACCGGTTTTTTTACTATCGTTATCCAAGTTAACTGACAACTTGTTCCGAAGACCTGTCAGTAGGACAATGATGTTACTCAGCAAGACTACAGCGTCCGTGCTGCACGTGACACACACCCACTTTTGCTCTGACTTGCTGAGTCTGTTGTAAGCAGTTGCTGTCAGATCTGTGCATGCTTCGTGGAACCAACCTTTGCAGTTGTCGCACTGCATGCCAGTTGTAACAGCAAAACGGCATCCCGGACGTTTGCATGAGTTTTTCATGACTGTGTTGAAGCAAACTATGTTATAGATGCTTGCAAAAGCCTAAGACCTTTAAAAAACACTAAAAAGCACACTGAAAACGGACAAAAATAGATAAAGCGAGTGATATAAACCGAAACTAGTCTATACGTGAAAAACAAAAAAAAACCGAATAGTAAGCTGAGGCAAAACCACAGGTAACTATTAAATATGGTGAAACTCAAAAAAAGTAATCTACCGAACGTATAGCTCAGGATAGATTCTTTAGAACTGAAATGGTACTTTTGTTGCGTAAGAACACAGCAAAAGTTTGATAAATGCAAATCGCGTTAGGACTAAACTTCCCGTTCGAAAAACCTCGTTTCGGTTTCAGTTTTTAAAGGGCGGGATCTGAGTGACCTGTGCTGGTACTGTCGATGGTGATCTCTCAGTTCATTCAACTTTCTTCAGAAAGCGTCAACAGATTGAGCTTCAATCATATGTTGAGGTAATAATGATTCGATGCGAAATTCGAAGGTCAGCTAACAAGTGATTTGTTCTGAGCTTATGAAATTTTGTGGAATGTCAACGTAATGTCTCTGTTTTGGAAGACCAGAAAAATGATGGCGTATCATATGCAATTTGTCACCGAGTAATTTAAAAACTGTGACCATATCACCTCTGGTTCTTCTTTATGACAATGGAATTAGTTTAGATTAGCCAGTCAAATATCATACGGGAGTTTTGCTATTCCGGGAGTCAGCTTAGTTGCTGTTCTATAAAAATTTTTCAACAACTCACTGTCTCTTTTTGGCAAGAACTAGCCTCTCTCTTCAGTACTCAAATTTAGGACGAACAATACTGCACACAAAGTCAAAAATGTCTTATCATCGACATAGTTAAGGCATGTAGCGGTAAATAAATCCTCAAAACCAACAATTTCAACGAGACGTGCCACTCCGTTCATCCGGAAGCAGACAGGCTTTTACCAGTTGTCTCCATTCCAGACATGTTGAAAACTCTGATGGTAAACAGTGATGATAATCGCAACTGCAACTATATGGATGCTATAAAGAAGTTGCAAGTAGACATGAACATTCTCAATCCGCTTAAATATCTCATCAACCCCAACCTCACAGAGACTCCAGATCAAATGAATGACATAAATATTTTCCTAGATCGTGTTGCATCAGAGGTATTTGAAAGAATAAGACGATCTAGCAATGCAATTGTGTTTAATATACCGGATACACATGCCCTTAAAAATATCAAATCTAGTCTGCTTAGAGCCAGCAATATGACACACGTACCATGTGTATGCACAAGATTAAAAAGAAGTCATCCTGGTATGCACTCACCGATCTTGTTCAAATTCAACTCATCTGTAGACGCCAGTGAATTTTTAAATTCCTCCAATTCATTGAGACAAAAACAGATTTTCAAGGATATTAAGACTCTTCCGGATAAAACACCATGCCAGCGAAAAGCAGGAAGAGATAACTACAGACCATCAGCTTCAAACTCTCAAATGCATCATAATCCTAATGGTTGTAACGTTAAGTCCGATTCTAAGAGGACGTCTAGCTTAACAACTTTGCCGCCACCAAAAAACTCTTCTGAATCTCATAAAGTTCAAAACCCAGAAGAAAGTAATCCCGATGTAGGTGGTGTCCATCCTCTTAAGAATGTTGACTTAGATTCAACCCGAAGTAGTTGTGCTGATGAAGAATGGGATAACACAATCCAAACCCCTGTTAGTGCAACACCCAGTTACAGTAACTGTGCAACGGATAACAGGAAAACTAATCATAACATTCATATAACTGACCACGCACTTAACGTTGATATATTCGAACCTCGCAAACCATCGCAAGTATGTTTAACAGTACACAATCCTCTCCAACTTATGAAGAAGCCGAAATCAACCACAAACCTTGGAAATAAACGTCTTAAACACGTTACCCATACGTCAGGTATAAATAGTTATCTGAATTGTAATTGGCCACTTGGTCACAACCATAGACCTGATAGCCTTCTTGGTCCGGCTCCCAATATGTACAGTATGCCCTTATCAGATGTTATATCCAATAGCAATGAAAAGAATTTTTTTGTAATTCCGCCGGCTTTCCTGCCGGCAACGGTAAACATATTTCACATGATGACAAAGTGGTTGAATCTATTTCCCCTCGCAACACGACTCTTACCTTAGCTAATCCTATGAGTATTCATGGAACTACCAATTGCGATTTATACTCTAACCTGCTTCACTATGATGACTCTGAGTTTCTTATTCTTTCGTTCAATGCCCGCTCTCTGTCTAATAAAATTATTCATCTTAAAACTCTTTTATTCCTTGTTAATCCAACCATTGTACTTA